AGATTATTGTAATTTTATTTCCTTACCGTTTATTCCAGATTGTGCGTTACCTAATCTACCGTGCAAAAATGTGACGTCATAACTCAGACGCCAAGAAAATGAAAAGTAAACCTCCACATGTCTCCTGACCTCAGATGACGTCATCATCATATAATGTGCAGCGATTGGTCATCATGTGTGGCGTTAAAATTATGCAACAACTGGTCCATAAGTGCCCTAGTTATACCATTCATTGTCCCTGAAATTGGACATCATGACACGTGACGGATATATGTCACAATCATTGGTCCTCATGTATGACATCATGATCACGTGACGTAGGTATGCCGCAGCGATTCGTTCCCATGTATGACGTCAAGATCCGAGGAGGAGAACGTATTATAGAATGGAGATTTGGGTAAGTGTAATCAAATACTGCTTTATGTTGTACAGAATTAGGATTTTATTTAATATATATTTACCAAATGTTAGTAGAGAAACGAAGGTCAAGTTTGTTATGGTATGTTGTCCTGGGGAAGAGACAACGCGTGTTTATGATAACATCTTCAGTGTATTCTCGTGTTGTAGGCGCCACCACTTAGCCTGCAAGGAGATACCCGTAGGTGCATTATCACGGCATTGTACACACGCACTCCACACAAGCACTCCACACACGCACTTTACACATGCACTCCATACACACACTCCACACACGCACTTTACACATGCACTCAATAAACACACTCCACACACGCACTTTACACATGCATTCAATAAACACACTCCACACACGCACTTTACACATGCATTCAATAAACACACTCCACTCAAGCACTTTACACATGCACTCCATACACACACTCCACACAAGCACTCCACACAAGCACGCACTCCCAGATATACATAGATCTTGATAGGTGTTGACCAGTAGACACCTCAACACATTCTCCCATACCGTTGAGACTTGATGAATATGTCTGTGTAACAACTGATATAAAAACACAGAGGGAAGTCACACCCGTCTGTGGCCCATGGGGGGGGGGGGTGGAGGTTAGATATAATATGGTCTCTTAAGGTTAATTTTATCCAAAAAGAATCAAATTTACAAGATAATTTATCATACATGCGTCTCTCCAGCCTTAGGATCTTCTGTAGGGACATCGTGAACAATAATAAAGGAAAAAGATTGAGGAAACACACACACACACACACACACACACACACACACACACACACACTCTCTCTCTCTCTCTCTCTCTCTCTACTACAGTACTACTACTTTGCTCTCACTCGGAATTGAGTATGAGCCCAGCTGTTATAAAATGATATGAGTTATTAGGGATGTCACCTAGGTTGGTGAGTTCTGGGGTGACTAAAGAGACCGATACGGGACCGGCAGGGTCGTTCACAGATGTTGCACTTGTGGGAAGGGCGGCAGCAGCGTCTTCCCGGCGTTGACGCTTGTCTGCCTCGGTTTGCAGTCGAGCTAATTCGAAAGTATTGACACCTTTTTGTGTGTTGCTCCTCCAAGCGTTGCGGTGTGGAGTAATCGTCTCCCAGGGGATGGGGTCGATTTGGCACTTTTCAGGTTTGTCTTAAGACAATCCTTATACCTTTTCAGTTGCCCGCTAGCATTACGTTTCCCATTTGCTAAGTGACAGTAAAGTAGCTGCTTTGGCAGTCTACTGTCGTCCATGCAGGTAACATGGCCAGTCCAACGTAGTTGTTCATGAATAATGGCAGCCTCGATGCTCCTACAGTTGGTGTCAGCGAGAACACTGGCATTTGTTCTTTTGTCTTCCCAGCGAAATGAGAGGATGAAACGTAGACTACGTTGGTGAAAGTTTTTAAGTGACTTGAGGTGCTTCCTGTATGTGACCCAAGTCTCGCTGGCATATAACAGGCTGGGGAGGAGCACTGCTCGATATACGTGTAACTTTGTTGATAATTTCAGCTCCCTATAGCTGAAGACACGGGTACGGAGTCTACCAAAGGCTTGAGATGCACATCTGATTCGCTGTTGAATCTCTTCATCGATATCCGCAGTGATGGACAGGTGGGAGCCGAGATACCGAAAGTGGGTAACATTAGAGAGGGTAGTACCGTTAAGCTGGATGGATGGTGGAGGTGTGACTGAACCAGGGGCAGTCTGAAAGAGAATCTGAGTCTTACGTACATTCACCTCAAGGCCAAAGTGTGCATACGCATCTGCGAAGGCGTTCAGTGTGAGCGACAAGGGCGAGGTCGTCTGCATACTGAAGTTCAGTAATGGAAGCTGCGGACACCTTTGTTCGTGCCTGGAGTCGTATTATGTTGAAAAGACCCTTCATCCGGTACTGGATGTCCACCCCGCCGGCTAAACTGGCACTGGCACGAGTAAGGAAGGCAACCAAGAAACTGGAAAAGAGAGTTGGTCCCAGTACACCTCCTTGTTTTACCCCCGTTAGGATGGGGAAGAACTCAGACTGGGTGCCATTGTGCAGGATACTGCCGTTCATGCCATAGTAGAGTTGCCTCACAATGGCGATGAATTTTGGTGGGCAGCCAAAACAGCTGAGGGTCCGCCAGAGGGCTTCCCTGTTGACCCAGTCGAAGGCCTTGGTTAGGTCGATGAAAGCCATATACACGTCACGACGCTGTTCTCTGCACTTTTCTTGGATCTGGCGGGCAGCAAAGATCAAGTGATACACACACACACACACACACACACACACACACACACACACACACACACACACACACACACTATACAGTATATAATTCCCGATAACCGATAGCACACACATTCCCCACTCGCCATGTACTTACGGTACGCTTTTACACACACACACACACACATTCACTACATGACAGGTTAATGACATGAATAAAAAAATAATAAGTGGCGTCTGTGCTGTATAGGGAGTGTTGACGATGGAGGGGAAGTGTGTGTGTGTATGACGAGGAACTCATTAAATGGACTTGCCTGCTTGACGATGGATAGGGGAGAGGAAAGTTAGTTTGTTAAGGCTAAGTTAGGTTAGGTTAGGTTAATTCAAGTTACGTTACGTGAAGTTAGTTTGGGTTACGGATAGTTAGATTGTGTTAGGTTAAGTAAGGTTAGATTAGGAATGGTTAGGTTAGTTATGGCAGTATTAGGTAAGGTTAAGCTTAAATGTTTCCATGTTATTTGTTTTTGTGGTTAAGCTTAAATATTTTCGTGTTATTTGTTTATTTTTGTGGTTAAACTTAAATCAACGTGGTAAGCTTATTCTCTTAACTAACTAAAATTACGAAAAAATAATCATCGCGGGAACCATTTCAGAATCAGGCCTCAGAATTTTAGCCAGATTAACTGATATTAAAAAAACCCCGAGGAAAAGTTGTAATCCGGGAACAAGGAAATACATCTCCGAAGATCGCTGGAAATATTGCTAAAAATCGTGGCCTCAAACACGCTAACTTTCTTTGGCGTTTGGGGTGGAATTTACGTTCTTATGGTCAGAGAATATAAGATCTGTTTCCGTGCCTTACTTTAAATAACCCACACAGTTAGTTTAGCTTTTGTGATTATCTTAATTAATTAATCTTGTGATTGACCTACTTGTAGAGTTGGTGGTATTGTCTTCGTTTTTCTTATATATTTTGTTTTTGATTTTTCGTTTGAAATTATTTGTAAAGTAGACTGCTATGGATATTAATTACGGTCGACTGATGTATCTAATTACACTTTGTCAATTAGGTATAAAATTGGTTATTGAAAGGCAGTAGTTAATAGCCGTCTTACTTAGAATTTAAACAAAAATCAACGTTGCTCTGTTTATGCCGCAGTCAAGAGAGTGGTTTAGCGAGTGCATTTGTAAAGTCACAAAGGTTGAAAATCTAGGGAATTAGAGTGTGTTAGTAATCATTACCTCCTGGTTGCCATGCAAAGCGCTGGTGACGTCACGTAAACAGAGAGGGTGATGGGGCGCTCACAGTCGCGGGAAGATGTCTCTCTAGTGTTGTCATTGCCTAAGGTCGTTAATGGAGAAAACAATGAAGCGTGATAATAACAAGAAGAAAATTATAATACATAGTCAATAGTTGTTTATTTTGCTTTCCTGGAAACGTACAAAACAATACAAGTTGCAAACATGAAATAATAAGTAGCTAGTAACACTTGGTACTTGACTACAGGTAAATATTTGAAACAGTAAGATTCTGCAGGTTAAGACTATTTCATTCGTTCCTTAACTCACTCCCAATTAACAAAGAAGTGATAAATCTGATGTACTGTACTTCTCAAACCAGTAAAAAGTCACGTGAAAAACCTGCGTGTAAGAGTAGTGAAGAGTGTGGACAGGCGAGGGCACGGCCAGTCACACAGGCTTCAGCGGATTGTCAAAGCTTCGTAACATGAATATTCGTCGAAAGTGAATACTTAAGAATGTACCTGACTGAGTGAGTGAGTGAAATTGCTTTAGCCAAATACAGGAACTTAATCTCAGACACAATTAACGTACGGAAAAACTTCTTGGGGTCAGGGCCGGATTAAGCTTAATAGGGGCCTGAGGCACAGATCAACTTGGGGCCCCCTACCCTCAAGGTATATATAAATAACAAGAACAAAATATACCCAAATTTATCAATGATTTCATCAATATTAAGCTTCTGCAAAATAACACGTTCAATGTTCATACGAGACAGAAAATTGAGACGTTGCTAGGACATCGTTGAACAAAGTTCATGTTTTATACGCTTCAACTTCGAGAATGTTTGGATTTGGGGCCCCTTAGAGTAGGGGGGCCTGAGGCCAGTGCCTCAAGTGCCTCATGGTTAATCCGGCACTGCTTGGGGTAGCTGCTGCACTCTTAAATCTTTCTTAACTAAATATTTTAATTTAGTCTCAAAGTTTACGCAAAGAGAAAGTTTTTTCTTTAGTTGGTGGCATTCTTACCTCTCTCAATGTGAGGAATAATTTATTGTACGACCTTTGAGAATCGAGCGTTAGGTGTAGGTGTGTGTTGGTGTGGTGGCCGGCAGAGGGCAGGCGTGGGCACACCTCCCCCGCCACTCTCCTCTCATTCCGCGCGACGCCTCAGTCACACACACTTGACGTATCTGAGATGGCATAAGACAAACATTCTGACATATGTGATGTGATTTGCGAATTTACTCACGCTTGAGAATAAAATAATTAACTATAAATGATTCAAACACACTAGAAGACATTACAGTTGAGTGATATACTAAATTAACCTTGAAGAGATTGGAAAGTGATACGTAATTTTACAAGCAATTAATAATAACAGACAGCTGTATGATGCTATCTTCCTGCTTAATAACGCCTGAGAAGAGATAAAGAGATATACAGATGTCTGGAAAGCCAAAAATAAACGAAAGAAATGTTTGCATACGATTGAGTGACGAGGCTGCGGTAACATGAGTAACTTGTCATATAATTTTGATTAAACAGGTGATATAAAACTTTTACTGTGACTGTAATATAAACTTATAACATTACTCACGAGTGTTTATTGGTGTTTAACATTCCTCAAGTGTTTATTTGTGTTTACGTGTAACTATGGCAAATGTTCATAGTGGAAAATTAGACAGCTAGTATTAATACGTGCAGTGTTACAAGAACTAGTTAAAGGTGGTGTGACAGTAAACCAGTTAAAGGAACAGTCAAGATAATCTGACTTGGTTGACTGGAAGAACAGTTAACAAGTGAGAAAAAATGAAAAATTTAACAGTCAACCAGTCAGAAGAAGAGCTACCAACCTATTATCCACATCTTACTGACTGGCTCTAAATTGGCCATAACAGTCAGTCAACACCAGTCAAGAGGAAGGTTTAGTTGATTAAAAGGAGGAAGATAATGGTGGTAGTGAAGCCCGAGTAGAGAGAGAGACGCTACCATGTGTTGTGCTCTGGTCACCCGGGACGTGGTGTATCCCCGCCAGCGACAGTAAGTGGTCTTTGTCGCCTGGTGTTGTTCTTCTCCAGTCTGGCGTTGTTCTTCTCCAGTCTGGCGTTGTTCTTCTCCAGTCTGGCGTTCAATAGTTGTTCTCACCTGTCATTCTTGTTCCCACACCTGTTCTCACTTCTGGTACTCTTGTTCCCACATCTAGTACTCTTGTTTCCACACCTGGTATTCTTGTTCCCACACCTGGTACTCTTGTTCCCACATCTGGTACTCTTGTTCCCACACCTGGTACTCTTGTTCCCACACCTGGTACTCTTGTTCCCACACCTGGTATTCTTGTTCCCACACCTGGTACTCTTGTTCCCACACCTGGTACTCTTGTTCCCACATCTAGTACTCTTATTCCCACACTTGGTACTTTTGTTTCCACATCTGGCACTCTTGTTCCCACACCTGGTACTCTTGTTCCCACACCTGGTACTCTTGTTCCCACATCTAGTACTCTTATTCCCACACTTGGTACTTTTGTTTCCACACCTGGTACTCTTGTTCCCACACCTGGTACTTTTGTTTCCACACCTGGTACTCTTGTTCCCACACCTGGTATTCTTATGTTCCCACCACCTGGCAATTTGTTCCCACACCTGGTACTCTTGTTCCCACATCTAGCACTCTTGGTCTTCACACTTGGCATACTTTTGTTTCCCACACCTGGTACTTCTTGTTCCCACACCTGGTACTTTGTTCCCACACCTGGTACTCTTGTTCCCACATCTAGCAATTCTTATTCCACACTTGGTACTTTTTGTTTCCACACCTGGTACTCTTGTTCCCACACCTGGTACTTTTGTTTCCACACCTGGTACTCTTGTTCCCACACCTGGTACTTTTGTTTCCACACCTGGTACTCTTGTTCCCACACCTGGTACTTTTGTTTCCACACCTGGTACTCTTGTTCCCACACCTGGTACTTTTGTTTCCACACCTGGTACTCTTGTTCCCACACCTGGTATTCTTGTTCCTACACCTGGTACTCTTGTTCCCACACCTGGTACTCTTGTTCCCACACCTGGTACTTTTGTTTCCACACCTGGTACTCTTGTTCCCACACCTGGTACTCTTGTTCCAACACTTTGTACTTTTGTTCCCACACCTGGTACTCTTGTTCCCACAACTGGTACTCTTGTTCCCACACCTGGTACTCTTATTCCCACACCTGGTACTCTTGATATACGCCTTAGTTACCAATACTCATTCCGTTTTCTGTGACTATGTGTGTAACCAGTTCATCTTTCATTTAATTTTGTAGAATACACTTTAATGCGGGTCTGGAGTGCACTGATTGGTCCCTATCAACCTTGACGTCATACACCTATACGTGACCGTAATAATAAGACGCAACTTATCCGCATTAAACCTGCTTGGTCTATACCTATCATGACGTCACATACGATCCAAGATGCCATCATGTTGGATCTTATGTGACGTCATGATGGGTATGGACCAATCAGTACACGCCTTGATTTAACTGGATGGTATTATGGATCTATCTGACGTCATGGTGGGTATGGCCCAATCAGCGCTCGCATGTTTTGTTTTATACGTTAGATATACTAAATTGCGTCTAATTGAATAAACGTAAATAATTAAAGGATTATATCAGAGATTTAGAAGAGGTTACGTACTGGGATCAATTCATAGGAGACGTTAATATTGTGTTTATGTGTAAAATAGACGTTAGTAGTGTGTGTGTGTGTGTGTACAGGAGACATTGTGTGCAAACATATGCATAAAAAAACGTCGATACACACACACACACACACACACACACACACACCATCCACAAAAATTCAATATCGTGTGGGTTCATGCATGCACCTACTAGTGTAAATAATTGATGTATACCTGAGTACTGTACTACTAATGGCGTATACATGATGGCCTCTGACACCTGTTGTGAACCCTGTGTGTGTGTGTGTGTGTGTGTGTGTGTGTGTGTGTGTGTGTGTGTGTGTTTTACTGGGGTCGTGACTAGGTGCTGTCCTTAAATCTCGCCTGTGGCTGTGTACAGATTGAGGGATGTACACATGTATACACTAGTAGGCTATACACATATACATATATACTTATATGATCACACAGACATGTACAAAATCACACACACACACACACACACACACGCACGCACACACACACACACACACACACACACACATATGATTCACACCACGACACAAGACAAATATGATTCAAAACTCAATACATAATGCGACGACAGATTGGTCATTCCTTACCTAACACATATTGCCTTACTGCACGAGAGAGACAGACAGACATACCATAACATAACACTATCTTCCCTCACCTCAAGACACTTCATTTCTTCCCCTCACTCACTCTCAGCACGAGGGGTAAATTAGCAGGTGTGAGAGGGCGTTATTGTCGTCGGCTGCCACTCCTCTCACGCGACCCTCACAAGAAATTAGATATGTCAGTCCCTTCGTCAGGAATGAGAGTACACCGTGTCTCTCTCAAGGTTCTGTTGGTGGAATGTACACAGAGAGAGAGAGAGAGAGAGAGTGTGTGTGTGTGTGTATGTGTGTGTGTGTGTGTCCCGTCATAAACACTAAGTTACTGTGCATTAAACTCTACGGTCATTGTGAGCCTCGTTTCACTATATCACTTGGCCCTGGGTTAACACACACACACACACACACACCGTTGCTGCACTTGACCATTTAACCACCTTCATTTCCCCAGGACAGGTGAACGGTGATTATATCCTGTATACGTTAATGTTTATGTCCTACCTGATGTTAAGTGAACGTTAGTTAAGAATGAGTCTCTGTACTTTAGATAATAAAATTGGTCTTCCCCTGTGAAAAGTTTGTCAGCAGTAAGGAGTGTTTTACCATGTGATCCATATTGGTGTTATACATCATGTGCCTCGCTCCTATGAAAACACTGACGAGGGAGAGTTAAGTTAGGTTGAATTTGGTTTGGTTAGATTTGGTTAGGTTGGGTTTGGTTAGGTTTGGTTAGGTTAGGTTAGGTGAGGTTTGGTTTGGTTTGGTTTGGTTAGGTTGGGTTTGGTTAGGTTTGGTTAGGTTAGGTTAGGTGAGGTTTGGTTTGGTTTGGTTTGGTTTGGTTAGGTTAGGTTAGGTTAGGTGAGGTTTGGTGAGGTTTGGTTTGGTTTGGTTTGGTTTGGTTAGGTTAGGTTAGGTTAGGTTAGGTGAGGTTTGGTTTGGTTTGGTTTGCTTTTGAATAAGAGTCATTTTTATATGTATTAGTGTATGTACAGTATATCGTTTGTGTCATTAATATCAGAATTATTACACATCTTATCTTGTTAAGACAGTTGGCCTCAGTGAGCCAGTGTTCCTTCATATAAAATACGACTGTTTCTACCAGATTGTGGGTCAGTTCATTCTATTATTATTATTACTGATCGTGGCGGCGGCTGGTGACACAAACAACCATCTAGGGAGTCATATATACAGCTGGACAGACAAATGAGTGTATGAACCATTACTCTGGGTACAGCTGGTCCCTGAAGCCCACCCCTGGCTATTCCAACCTTGGCACTTAACATACCAGCCTTGGTAAACAGGCGGGTTGTGCTGCCTCAAGGCCACGGTAAGGTGAAGTGTTGCTGGTGCTGGAGTGACTACCGGCCGGGGATAGTTCATACACTTTATATTGGTTACAGAGATAGGCAGTCCATAGGCGACCCTCCTCATAGTCCTCTTTATAACTATGATAAATGTTTCCTATGTGAGTTTGCCTCAGGGAGAAGACGAGCTCTTAACGAAGACTCTACTGTATAGATGAATGATACAGAAAGTCTCAGCTCTGAACTTGAGAAAGTCACTACCGCTGAACGTAACAAGTATTAGTAGGACACTTATAATGGAACTGAAAATAGTTGTCATTAACATAGAAAAAAAAATGATAGGACTGCTGTGTAGACCGAAAAGCGTGCAAAGACACTCCCAGTATCCCGAAGGTGTGATGAAAGCTGTTAAGGGGCGGCTTTCTTCATCCAGCGCCACCTGCCGGAGAGAACACTATACTCTTCCCCCCTTGCCCTAGGACGAACAATGGAAAACGATCAGGAACCGTCACCTTACATAAGCTTCGATAGTCCACTCAAGGTCGCCACGAGTCATCTGGTTTGGGAACTAATAATAAATGAGAGATCCAAGAAAGAGTAGATGGTTGACTTACACCTTAGACGAGTGTGTCATCTACAACGGCTCTCTGTGTGTGTGAGGGAGTCAATGTGCCGGTACAGTGCATAGATGGGATTAGTGTCTGGGTGTAAGTTAATGTGAGGTTGTACAAGGTGTGTCTCTCAAAAAGGATCGTCTTACAAGGGCACTGCAGACCGGTGCTTGTTGAGCTAATCAAGTAATGTAGATAGAGCTTTAGTTAAGGCTACAGGGCCCACTACACTAGCGTCTGTTGTTGGTGCGGTGTAGATAGAGCTTTAGTTAAGGCTACAGGGCTGACTACACTAGCGTCTGTTGTTGGTGCGGTGTAGATAGAGCTTTAGTTAAGGCTACAGGGCCCACTACACTAGCGTCTGTTGTTGGTGCGGTGTAGATAGAGCTTTAGTTAAGGCTACAGGGCCCACTACACTAGCGTCTGTTGTTGGTGCGGTGTAGATAGAGCTTTAGTTAAGGCTACAGGGCCGACTACACTAGCGTCTGTTGTTGGTGCGGTGTAGATAGAGCTTTAGTTAAGGCTACAGGGTCCACTACACTAGCGTCTGTTGTTGGTGCGGTGTAGATAGAGCTTTAGTTAAGGCTACAGGGCCGACTACACTAGCGTCTGTTGTTGGCGCGGAGGACTGACCTTAGGAATAGTACCTTGATTACAAACAACTTACACCAAGCAACATATGATGTCTGCTGGCTGTATGTGTGATGTTTTGTGGCTGTATGTGATGTTTGTTGGCTGCATGTGATGTCTGCTGGCTGTATATGATGTCTGTTGGCTGCATGTGATGTCTGCTTGGCTGCATGTGATGTCTGTTGGCT